GAATGATGATTAGACCTTTGCCATTGGTGTTGACAAACAGAGTCTTGTATACACTACCACGCACATAGTTCTGGCTGATCATAAACGTGGTAAGTCTCTTGTACCAAGCACTAGGAGATTGTTTCAAACCATACAACGCCTTATTCATCTTATAGAAATGATCTGGATATTCCTCACTCTCGAATCCTTTTGGCTGTTCAACATACGCTTCCTCTTGAATGATGCCATTTAGAGAAGCACTTCTGACATCCATCTGATGAAGCTCAAACTTCATCTTACAAGCTGTCCCGAGTAAGAATTGAATGCATTCTAACCGTGCAATTGGGGCGAAAGTCTCTTCGAAGTCAACACTTTCTACTTCTTTGTAACCTTGAGCAGCAAGCCTTGCTTTGTTTCTAGGGACATTGCCTTCTTCATCACCTTTATTTTTAAAGACCCATTTTGTTCCGATGACATTTATTCCTTTTGGCCATGGAACAAGATTCTAGACGTCATTCCGAATGAATTCTTCTAGCTCCTCGTGATAAGCAAGAGTCCAGAAGTAATCATCAAGAGATTCAGTTACGTTCTTTGGCTCAACCATTGAGACGAGAAAAGAAAACATGACTTTTATAGTACCTATCAAGTCCATGTGTATGAGATCCAGCACATGAGACGTATGTATTCCTTCCGCTCGTTTGTGTTGAACTTTTATTTGCTTTCCCTGATTACAAGCAGCACTCACAATCTTGTCCACATGTTTTAAGTATGTGTCTCCTCTCACCATCTCATTGCTCACAAGTTTTGACATACTTCTAGCATTCACATGTCCTAATCGTTGGTGCCACTGAACTGCATCATCTTTTTCCGCTCTAAAGCAGTTTTTACCTTCCTCCCACATGTAGCAGTTGTTCCCAGTGCGTATTCCTGAGAGCTTAGTACGATTCTCCTCATCATTTGCCCAACATCTTACTTTGTTAAAACTAACAGTTAACCCATCGTCACAAAGTTGACTTACGCTGATCAAATTTGCAGTCAATCCTTCAACAAAATAAACATTAGTGATATGTGGTTTCTCAGCTTCAGTCAAATCGCCTTTACCCTTGATTTTACCTTTAGCTCCTCCTTCAAAAGTGACTTTTATTTCTTTGACTGGTGTATAATTGTTGAGATTTGACTGATTTCCTGTCATGTGACTTGAAGCACCACTGTCGAAGTACCACGGTTTGGTTGACACATTCTCTGATGAGGTATATGCAACATGACAGTACATATCAGATTTAGCAACATACACTTGTGTTTCTCTTAACTTATGTGGATGAAACTTTCCTTGATGCAGCAGCTTCTTAACCTTGTATATATATCTGTAGCAGTTCGTTTTGATATCACCATGACGTCCACAATAATAGCACTC